CCGCTCTGGCCGCGCGTGGCCCCCGTGGCCGGCCAGCTGCACTCGGTGGCCTTCCTCGCGCTGGCCGCCGTGCTGGCCCTGGCCTGCTGTGCCTCCAACGTCACCTTCCTGCCCTTCCTGAGCCGCCTGCCGCCTGCCTTCCTGCGGTCCTTCTTCCTGGGCCAGGGCCTGGGCGCGCTGCTGCCCTGCGTGCTGGCCCTGGGGCAGGGCGTAGGCCGCCTCGAGTGTCCGCCCGCCCCGGCCAACGCCACCCCGGGCCCCCCCCTCGTCTCCCCGGAGCGCTTCCCCGCCAGCACCTTCTTCTGGGTCCTGGCGGCCCTTCTGGTCACCTCAGCGGCTGCCTTCCAGGGCCTCCTGCTGCTGCTGCCCTCCCCACTCCCCGCGCCCCCGGGGGGCCCCAGGCCTGGCCCGCAGGTGGGCGCCCCGGGAGGGGGGCCCCGGGGGGCCGAGGAGGAGGAGGAGGCCTCCCCGCTGCAGGAGCTGGCGGGCGAGGCCGCGGAGGCCACCCCCGGCCCAGGGCCCCCGGCCCAGCGGCTGCGCTCTCTCCGTGGTGCCTCCCTGCTGGGCCTGCTGGCCGTCACCAACGCGCTGACCAACGGAGTGCTGCCGGCCGTGCAGAGCTTCTCCTGCCTGCCCTACGGCCGCCTGGCCTACCACCTCGCCGTGGTGCTGGGCAGCGCGGCCAGCCCGCTGGCCTGCTTCCTGGCCCTGGGTGTGCTGTGCAGGTGCGGACCGCGGGGGGCTGGGCCGGGCGGCCGTGGGCGGCCTGGGCCCCGCTGACCGCCCGCTGCCCCCCAGGTCCCTGGCCGGCCTGAGCGGTCTCTCTCTGCTGGGCCTGCTGCTGGCAGTCTACCTGGTGGTGCTGGCCGTCCTGAGCCCCTGCCCGCCTCTGGTGGGCACCTCCGCCGGGGTGGTCACTGTGGTGAGTAGAGGGGCTGTGGGGCGGGCACGGGCGGCGGGCAGGGCACCCACACCGCCCGCGGTCGCCCTCACAGGTGCTGGCCTGGGTACTGTGTCTGGGGGTGCTGTCCTACGTGAAGGTGGCCTCCAGCTCGCTGCTGCACGAGGGCGGCCGGCCGGCCCTGCTGGCGGCCGGCGTGGCCATCCAGATGGGCTCCCTGCTGGGCGCAGTGGCCATGTTCCCCCCGGCCAGCATCTACCAGGTGTTCCGCAGCGGCAGAGACTGTGTGGACTCCTGCGGGCCTTGAGCGCGGCCCCCGCCTCCGCGGCCCCCACGCCCCCC